CAGACTGAGCGTGGCTAACCGAAATCAGACTGCCTTCTCCGGACTGAACGAAAATAACAGACCGCTCAAGCCCCGGAGCTCGAATGTTTACCGTGAAGTTGCTAAACTTCATCATAATTAATGACCAACCTCGATCAGTTGTAGAAAATGAAGGATTTCACAGCTTGATACTTGGAAGCCAAGATATAGTTTACCCTCCAGGAGATATTTATCAGTACAATTAGTAGACAATCATAAAAAGCATATCAATTGAAAATGACAATAAAATTATATAAAAAAAAAAACTAAACAAACACAGCTACATTATAAAGAGATATAAAATACTAAAAACAGAAATATGTTTTTGTTGGTTTATGCCATGAACTTAACAGATGTTTAAAGCCATCTAATCACTTTAATATCCACTTTAAAGCTAGGAATTAAAAAAAAAAAAAGTTTTGTTAGCAGGATTTAATGCTAACTTTGAAACTTATCCAACATTAATAAAACTTACCCCATGTTACCTTTTTGGACATGCATATATTTGAACAAATTGTACTTGCCTGTAGAGAGGAGATTATTACAGCCTCAAAATCAATAATGATATCGGAACGGGATCGGTATTGGCCGATATCCAGCTTTAGGTATCGGCATTGGATCGGAAGTTACAAAATGTAGATCGGTGCATCCCTATTTATTGATCTATATTTTGTGCAGACTTTTTCCACCTAAATAACAGAAGGATCTTTTTTATTTTTATACTTGGAGACTGAATACTTTACTAAATAAAGTAATTTCAGTAAAACTACCCCTTGTTTTTTTTAATTTTTTTATAATACTGCAAAGCAACATGTTAAGTTAATTTTGTCAAACTATGATTTCTGTTTATTTTTTGTTATATCACGAAATTTATCATTATCCTCAGAATGCTCTGAAATATCACAATATTATATTTGAGCCATATCGCCCAGCCCTACTAAAAACAACATGCTATTTGTAATAACTACGGAGATCGTCTGTGTTGTTAATCTCGTGCGAATCGGCCATGTCAGTAATTTGTAAAGTGAAAATTCCCCCGCAAATTACCAACTATATTTTTCTAAACTCCAAGGTCCTGAGTGGTTAGAACAGTCGTCCTCCAATGCAAGAGTTGGGGGTTCGAATCCACCAGCAGTCATGTGCTACGTGTGCCTGGCAAGACACTGAACCCCTCACTGCCTCTGATGCGTGTCCCATCAGTGTATGAATGTGATAAAGCTCTGATTAGTCTCTTTAGAATGATTTGTTCCATTATCTTTGTAGAGATCTAGTAGAGAGCTGTATGAATGGGTAAATGAGGCACAGATTGTTGTAAAGAGCTTTCAGCATCTCGATAAGATAAAAAGACGCTATATAAATACAGTCCATTCCATTAACCATTCCTGTGATAATACTAAACCAATGCGAATAGGCGTCTCTGTGATTTGGACAGAAATGGGCAGGATCCGATACGTAATGAGGCATTTTTGTTTAAGCAAAATCATTTGGAAAAATATAGATCAAGGCTATTTTAAATGAACGCGCTGCTCGCTTCGGCTATTTTTTTTTTTATGCATTTTTCTTTTTTGCTTCGGCTTTTACTTCCTTCACCACAGATGGCAGGAGGTGCAGAGATGCGCACGATCAAATGACCCAGTCAGCCATTACATTTACCCTCTTCTTCCTTTTCAGGTAGCGGGAGTTGCTGGTGCCCATATCCAGCCATCACTGTGCGAGAGGCAGGGGACACCCTGGACAGGTTGCAAGACCAAATCAACCGGTGGGTCAGCGGACGCTCACGCGCACAGCCGGTGATAGCTGTCCATCTGAGCTTAACGTGACATTTTTACCTCTTAAACCGGCTGGTCGGACCTGCCTCCTCCTCAACAAGTAGATTAACACAATTTTATATTGTGCATTATTTAGTTTTCTTTGTGCTGATTCGTAAAACCACATCAAAGCCTGAGACCAGCTCGGCCCGCACATTAGATGGACCAGCCCAGTCGTGACAACGCAGCTCGTTAACATCACATCAGGAAGATGTCCGGAAATTTCAGCTAAATCTTAGGCTTTGGTCATCCTGTGTGAATGCGCCACATAAAAAGCAGACGTTGGAGAGTAATTTATTTATTACATGTGGTCTTTAGGTAAAACTAATCCCATGCGAGTAGGGCTTAGGACTCCAAACAAGTCACAGATGGAGGGGTCAGTCAACGACTCATGTGACCTTATCTGCCTTATAATCGTCATCCTTATAACATCTAAGCATGAAGCTACTCACCTGAGGAGTAGGACCTGAAAACTAATCCTACCATCTTTTAAAAGTTTCTTAAAACAGCAAGCTGGGATCAAAATGTTCCTGTAGTAGTGTGATAACGAACTAGGTCTTTTAAATAAGAAGGTGCTAGGCCAATAAGGGTTTTGTATGTTATAGGAGAAGGATTTTGAACTAAAGTCTTAAGGTTACATGAAGCCATAGCAGCAAAACAAGAGAAACATGACCCCTTTTTGCAGCATCTGTCACAACTCTGTCTGCAGTTTTCTGGATCAAAAACTATTTGAATACACAGATAAATAATCAAGCCAACGTGTTACATCCACCATGGGCGGCTGTGGCTGAGTGGTTAGAGCAGTCGTCCTCCAATGCAAGAGTTGGGGGTTCAAATCCACCAGCAGTCACATGCTGAAGTGTCCCTGAGCAAGACACTGAACCCCTCATAGCCTCTGATGTGTGTCCCATCAGTGTCTGAATGTGATGAAGCTCTGATTAGTCTCTTTAGAATGATTTGTTCTATTATCTTTGTAGAGATCTAGTATAGAGCTGTATGAACGGGTCAGATTGTAGTAAAGAGCTTTGAGTATCTTGATAAGATAGAAAGGAGCTGTATAAGTACAGTCCATTTACCACTTTTTTTGAATCACTTCTAGACGATGTGCTCCTAATCTGAAACATTAAACATATAAAATAAATGTCATTTTATGTTGTAATTACTAAATGAAAAGGCCCAGGCTTCCTGACAGGTGGGATTAAACATATGTAGTCTGAACCCCCCGTCACGTGCGCTTCCACGTTAAGGCTGCCATGCTACTAACTGTTCACATCACTGTAACTAAATTATAATTAAAACATGCACCTTTTGAATTACACTGAAAATACAACAGCTAATAAAAGTCTCATTACAAACACGTTTATTGGACTGTTCGTGGACTTGAGTAAATACGGAGTGTGTGTCCATGCTTGACGGTGAAGTCACCAATCATTCGAGAATGATCGATAAAAACTACGAAGCCTGGTTCGGCAGCGTGACTCTGGAGCTAGCCGGTTAGCATGCTGCTGAACACAACCTACTGACCCCTACTTAAACTTGGTCATTTCCAGCAGCATTCGAGCAGTTTCTATTGCATGAGTGCTTCGTGCGCCTGTGGTTAAAGCTTGGAGCAGCTAGCTGTGTTAGCGGCCCGAACAGCTAGCGGGCACAGTTCCTCCAGCCCGGCCTGGCTCAGGGGAGAGCTCTGCCAGGAACCAGCCGTCCTTCAGAGTTTACACACAATGACACGGCAAACATTCAGACGCACACCAGCAACGCAGACCGGGACCGTATATGTAGAATTAACTAAAGACAAAGCCCTGAGGAGCTCGAGAGCCCAGTGTCAGTACCATGTTCTCCACCTCTCGGTTGGCTCCGTCTTGGCCCTGCACCGGACTGGCGCTGCCCTCTGGGGTTTTCCGCTCCCCGGTCCCTTTCCTTTCCTTCCTCCGGCTGCGGTTCCACAGATAAACCGCCCCAACACCGAGCACGATGGGAGTCCCGACTAACAGTGCTAGCTGCCACCGGGGCAGTCCGGTCCCGGAGTGGGGCTCCACTGGCTTGGAAGCTGCCATGATCTACAGCGAGTTTAGCGACTGTGCGACGCAGCGTCAGACAACGGGAGCGCCTCTTCTTCTTCTTCTATCATCTAACTCTGTGACGCAGCGTCAGACAGCGGGAGCGCCTCTTCTTCTTCTGTCATGTAACTGCGGCAGCCTGCACGCTGGAACAAACAAGGCTGCCCCTAAAGGCAAGGCGCTGCAACAATCTTTTTATTCTTTAGGTTTTTATTGACGGCGATAACATTTGCCTCAGAGCCCTGTAAAGAGAGAGCTGCGACACTCTTTGAACTCGCCGATACGCGGTCACGTGGTTCATGCAGCTTCAATAGTTCCAAACAGTTCATCCTGTCAGTCAGTTTGAGGCTGCTGGGACAACATAACACATAAATCGACTTTTCTTACTCTACCTGGCGTCTTTCAGTAATTATTGAGCAGTAACGAACTGATTACTTAACAGATTATTGATTATTTCACAAACTATGCATTTTATCAAAGCATTTTTAGAAGCGGCTGATACATTTATCATTAAATTTTAGAAGGAAACGAGACTGCAAACACATATTTGTTAGAAAAAATAATGTATATGCAATACAATGATCAATATAGCCATGTCAGTGTTTTATAACGTTACACACGATAAAAAAGGTCAGAGTAACTCCTGTTATAAAGTTATTCTGATGTTCTCTGCAGGATAATGCTCCACCTTGTCCTCCATGCAGCAGTTCAGATCTGCTCCATCTTACCTCAGAACATCTGGATGAATTCTTGATTTCTATAGAAGATATTAATTCAACCTTTATTTAAACAGGTTCGTCCCATTGAGCCACGAGGACTCATTTACAAGAGAGACTGAATATAATTGTTCTATTTTTAATTTTTTTATGGCACCAAGTACCTGATAACTGAGTTGATTGTAGCCTGACAACTATTGTAAAACTGTAATTCATTGATTAAAATGTTAATTTAAATGAAACTGTTTCTAGTTAAAATCATAACAGTGACAAAATAAGTGTTAACTGTGCAAAAATAAATTTCCAAACAATTATAAAATATGTAAAATGTAAAGCAAGCTTTAATAAAGTACTTTTACTACCATTTATATTGTTTATTAATGACATCATCTCAAGTCAGCAGGAGCACCATCATCATCATCACAACAACTCAAAACTGAGAGCTGTAAATTTAATCTGCACAAACATTTTCAATCAGGGCTCAAAATGTTGAACTGTCAAAGAAACGTGCAAGAAAATAAACTGATGTCACTCTACAGGCACATTTAGAGAGAGGACAGTTCACAGAGACACAGTGAGGACGAGTGAGACTGAGACACAGTGAGGACGTGTGAGACTGAGACACAGTGAGGACGAGTGAGACAGAGACACAGTGAGGACGAGTGAGACAGAGACACAGTGAGGACGTGTGAGACAGAGACACAGTGAGGACAGTTCACAGAGACACAGTGAGGACGAGTGAGACAGAGACACAGTGAGGACGAGTGAGACAGAGACACAGTGAGGACGTGTGAGACAGAGACACAGTGAGGACAAGTGAGACAGAGACACAGTGAGGACGAGTGAGACAGAGACACAGTGAGGACGTGTGAGACTGAAGGAGGTTCAACCAGTTGTTTATGGACCAGAACCAGATGAGAAGAACAGCAGAACTTCCACTGCATGTTGATCCATTGACCAGTGATCACACATGTTGTTCTAAATTAAACTTTGGTACGAACAGTGTTAAATAATTCATGTCATATTTTTATTGAACAATAATCTTCATTCTAACAGTGACGTTATAATTTCAGAGACTGAGGAAGAAACAGAAATGAGGCGAGTGAGATGAGGGAAAGATGAAAATGTGTCCTCAGAGGACGGGGACATGTCAGGATCTGATGATCCAGGATCAACAGGACCAGGAGGATGAATCAACAGGACCAGGAGGATGGATCAACAGGACCAGGAGGATGGATCAACAGGCAGTCAGGGAACAGAGATGAAAAACCTGAGGAACAATTAGAACAAAAAAATACATAAGCAGGACAGAAGAAACTCACAGACAAGAACATTAACTCAGTCCTGTGAAGAAAAATATTAACAATGGAAAACAAATTCTGATATATTTTTACAAAAGATCAGATGAAGAGACCTGGCATGAAGAATAACTTCCAGCTCCATCTCAATGTACCTGTGATAGTTTAATAAGTGTTTTGTTACTGTCCTACAGTTTATTGATGCTGATATATTCTTGTAATAATTCTTATTTCTTGTTCTGTCTTGAAAGAGTCTCATCTCAACTTGACCCATGATTACCAAACACCATCTTCATCCCTGAAAGAGTGACCGCTGGCCTGGAGATGAGTGTAGACCGCAGAGTCCTGGCCTGATGATGTTGATCTTCTGTGCTGGGCCATCCTTTTGGCCAGTGGCTGTTTTGTTTCCCCGATGTAAGACTGATCACCCTCCTGACACTGAACAGCATACACAACATTGCTCTGTTTGTGCCGGGGGACTGGATCTTTGGGATGAACCAGTCTTTGCCGTAATGTATTTTGGGGTTTAAAAGCCACTGGGACGTTATGTTTAGAAAATAAACGTCTCAGTTTCTCTGATACCCTCTCAACATATGGAATGACCACTGGTCTGGGTCTGGGTTCCTCCTTTTCACCTGATGGCTGACTGGAGTCCTGTTTGGGTTTCTTCTCTGCTTTCAGGAAGGCCCAGTTAGGATATCCACATTGCTCTAGAGCCTGTCTTGTGTGGGATTTCTCCTTCTGCCTGGCTCCTGAGCTAGTGGGGATGCTGTCTGCTCTGTGATACAGAGTCCTGATGACTTCTAACTTGTGCTCCAAAGGGTGATGGGAGTCAAACTGCAAATACTGGTCTGTGTGGGTGGGTTTGCGGTACACCTCAGTTTGCAAATGTCCTCTATCAGAGACTGAGACCTCACAGTCCAAGAAAGCCAACTTGCCATTTTTTTCATCTTCTCGTGTGAACTTGATGTATTTATCCACAGAGTTGATGTGGTCAGTAAAATGTTGGACTTTCTGAGATTTGATTTTAACCCAGGTGTCGTCAACATACCTGAACCAATGACTTGGTGGTGTCCCTGAAAAGGACGTCAAGGCTCTCTTTTCTACCTCCTCCATGTACAGGATGGCAACAATAGGAGAAACTGGAGACCCCATAGCACACCCATGTTTCTGCCTATAATATTGCTCCCCATATGTGAAGTAGGTTGACTGCAGGCACAGTTTCAAGAGTTGACACAGTTGTTCTGTGGAAAGCGTGGTCCTGCTGCTCAGAGTGGTGTCTGATTTTAATCTTAAACTGACCACCTCTACTGCATCATCAACAGGAATGCACGTAAAGAGTGATGTGACATCAAAAGAGACCATTGTTTCATCAGTCTCCATGATGACATCCCTCACCTTATCCACAAAGTCCATGGTGTTCTGTATGTGGTGTTCTGAGCTGCCAACTAAAGGGATGAGTACAGACGCCAGATATTTGGAAACATTGTAAGTGACAGAGTTAATCATGCTAACGATTGGTCTTAAAGGTACACCTTGTTTGTGGATTTTAGGTAAACCATACAGACTAGGTGTGGCCTCCCCTGGGTACAGTCTGTGGTACAGAAAACGGTCAATAGCCTTGTCCTGCTCCAAATTTTTCAGGCAATCTATCAATTTCTTCTTGTAACCACTTCCTGGATCTCTTTTCAGAGGTTCATAAGTGTTTAGGTCACGAAGGAGTGTCATAACTTTCTCATGATAGTCTTTCTGGTTCAAAATCACTGTGCACCTTCCTTTGTCTGCTGGGAGAATGATGATGTTTTTGTCCTTGCT